CAAAACCGTGAGTGTGCCCTAGAATTCGATGAATTATTCGGATTGGCTCGGACGGATCTTGTGAATGGTCATCCCTTTGAACTACAGAGGATGCCGGCCCACATGGACTTCAGACAGAACGCCTACTCGCAGAGGGTCATCGGAGCGTAAAACGGACTCCATGACGAGGTGGTTCCTTCAGATACTGTTGACACATTTAAACACAAACTGGATTTTCATTTGCTGAGAAGCCGCGATACATATAATGAAAACAGTGTCAGTAGCTGCAGTTTGCAACTAGTTCACACATCGCTGATGTTAACTTTACATATGTATTTGCATTATGTGCGATTTTTTTAGATATGAACAGAGAGCTCAAGGGCGAAAGCCTTCCTCCCGTAATAAACCGACTTAAAGTGACTATAAGAACTAAAACCATTAGGCGGCCTCTCTATTTATTTCTGCCCTGTTTTAATTCATTTAGTACTGTGCTCTTAGCGCGTATTAAACAGACATTAACTGCTCATTAATTAACCTTTAAAACTTAAACCACGAAATCCGTCAGACCTTTGGGCTGGTAGACTTTTGCCACTGGCAGCCGTATGATTTATCTCTGCGGCTCATGATTACGGAAACATATGCGAGAAAAGAGAATGTAGTAGATACAACGCAAGTTTTTTACTCTTACGAGTTTCGGGTGCCGGCGTGGCGAAATCAGTCATTAGCACGATGGCGTTTGCTGTCCTTGAGCCTTGTGCCAGCATTAATCTTCAGGACAGTTTCTGCAGTCCCCAAGTGGTGATTTATCCAGCCAACAGCCTGTAACGGTTCGTCGAATTCCAGTTCCATATCTGTTACGAGGGACTGGAGACACTATATAAGTGTGCCATCGTCACTCCACGGAAAGCAACACACAAAAAAAACATATACAGGAAAAAACTTGCCCTAAACCCCGTCGAACTCCTAAAGGAAAATAAAAAGGAATTCATTGATACGCGCTTCAAATGAAGTAACTGACAAGCAAGATATATAAAAAATCAAGAAAGCATAAATTAATTAATCCTTACGCGACTTTTAGGATCAGGAAATTTGTCGATGGAATTGGCGTTGGCAAAAGTGAAGTTTTTCAAAATTGAAGTCAGGGAAGACAGAATAGAATGGAGCAGCTTTTACTGCGAAACATGAGCTGTACAAGGACTGTGTCACGCGCCAGCCACCAGCATTTTCTTCACGCTAGTTGTGGTCCTGAGAGTTTGTGCTGTAACGAAGCATTGGTTGCGTGATTTGTGCTCTGCTGCCTGCAAAGCCAATAGGATGAAGCGGGGCGTATCAATTGACAGCGAACGTGTACGCGTATGATGCAGCGAGCCGATCCGTAGCGTGCAAACGGCCAAAGCAAGATTAGTTATCAGGCATGCGTGCAAGTCATGCTCGACGAAATCTGGATGAGTCAGTACGGTGGGGTTGGGCGCGTGGACTCACAAAAATTAATCAATTTCTTAAGAAATAAAACATGTTTATGCTGGTAGTACGTTAAATACAGCAATGATGGCATGCCTTGTTTGGTAGGATTGATCGGTTGAAGCAGTGGAAGTTCACAGTAGTTCTTGGTACTAGTAATTTCGATATGAAAATGATGCACAATGAACATGCAGAGTTGGGGAAAAGAAGTGATCATCGTTTATTTTTCCACTGTCAGTTACATAGGGTCATCACAGCACGTATAACCGAGTAAGAGTCCATTCATTTTCACATTTTTTATTCTTAGACGTCACGTGTACCTTGTGTGCACTATTTATATTCCAATTCGCTTTTTTAAATGATCCAGATATTTACCCTCGTTTTTGGTTTTCGGTTGTTCAAAGAAGAGCGTTAGTAACGTGTTGTGCGACTGTCAGTTGCACGTTTTTTATGGGTAGGCGTGTACGGGTTACTTTTTGTAACACATTGCACAATGTCTGCATTCCCCCTTGTAATCGATGGGTTCACTGGTGAGTTCACGACCCGTTTCTGACATGTTTTGATTCATGTTGTGCTACTGACTACGGGAGGCGTAAATCGTTGCGTTTGTTACTCCTGATGTCTTTCCCGCCTATAGTCCACCGGGGCCGTTAAGTTTATTTGTTTTACAGCTTAGCGGGGTTGATCTGGTGTTGCAGTAGACGATTAACTAACCGGAGTATCGATCGGCGCGCGTCGGGTTTTAAGGATATGCACATCTAATTTAATTGAGTATAGTTTCAATTCGTGGTCTGTCCAAGTGACTGGGGGACGAACACACAGTTGACATATAAAGTCAAAGACTTTCACGCTACCTCGTCCATTTCTCGCAATTTCATGGCCAGTCCGCCTAACTCAGACCAGGCACCAACGCAGGAAAAAGGGCGAAAACGGCGAGATCGATCGGACTCTGATTCGACGTTTGGTTCCTTTACATACCCAACCAAATGCGCTTTTAAATTAATAGGACGCGCTGGCAGACGTAGCTCGATTGACAGTCAACTGGCAGGACGAGACGGTTCTACTCAGGACGGAAAGACAAACTGTCGGAACTCTTAATTTTGCCATATATGGCAATCAGATGACTAAGAGATATTGATCAAGTAAAGTGGCATCACCAGTATATTCACATTTAGACTTGCATACTTCAAGTTATATCATATTTATCTGATAGGCGTCACTATCTCGACTCTACTTAATATTCATTAGTACCTACGGCTGTACTCTGCATTGCCGATTCTACCTGTACAAACTTGCAAGTTCACCACATCAAGAACGGTAGGCCCTTACTGTAGTCTGTCCACCGCAGCTTCCAATAAAAGTAGAACCAGTTCGCACGTCTGTTTTTTTGCTCGAAGAGCATTATACTCTAAACACGCTTGTTATAAGTCAGGGCCTAGTTTCGCTTACGGGGTATTCTGGATGATTTCGCTTTTAGGTCTGTGCAGCAGATTACGTAACTACCCGAGAAACTTGGGAAAGAGGATTTAGTTGAAGGGCTATGTTCCTGATCGACTATTTGGACGTTCATTAGGGCTAATTGAGAAATTTTAACGCACACACCATCGACTGAATGTTTCTGGGCGCGGATTTCGTTTCACGTTCGAACAGAATAACTTTCCTGATGGAGTTCTCGTGCACCCCCAGTTATGTCTCAGGTCAATTTAAGCTTGTACACTCGTTTGATCCAGTGGTCGATTTCGTTCTTGTTCGTTCCGAAGAACTTTGATTCTTACATAACGTAAACCCTTCGCTTGCATAACAACCTCTTAGTCTACAAAGATCAGGCAGACTTCTTCGGCTACCGAAACTTGAAGAATATCTTTGTCTCGAGACAGTCGATATGTATGGACACTTAAGCAGCATTTTCTCTCACCTGGACACTGATAACCGCACTTTAGCAAAGCAGCGCGATGACTTTTTGAACGTTATCAGTGTAGTCAGGATCCTTAAAATACACCTACAAAGTACGTCTACATCGATATTGTCTGCTAGGGCATGCTGAAAAACTGGCTTTTTTACGTACCTTAAGAGAATTGCTTGTAGAAGGCAGCCCGGCGGTCGTTGTATGGAACATCGAAGACTGGCTCAGGTGCAGGTTTTATCCAGTCTGTAACAGTTTTTTTCTGCTTCTACAGGCTTGATCAGTATTTCGCGCGCTTCGGTCACAGTTAAGCGTGGTTACTAAGGCCCCGTTAAAATGCGTGTTTGCTTATCTTGCATTTTCTCGTCCGCCACCGATGTTTTCTGAGATTGAATTTCTCTAGTCTGACTATGAATACCCACTAAACCTTATTATGAGAGAGGAGGAGGCCGAAGCGACTAATTATGCTTTGAGCTAAAGAGCGGCTTATAAAATGTCCTACGCAACTAGACAGCTGAAGTTCTTAAAACTTATCTAGTTGGTGGGCTCGCATTGCAACCTCTGACTTAAGACGATAATTAAGGCGTGTTCACATGGGTTATTAGTATAACCTGTATACTTTCCCTGTTTCCTAGCAAGCGCAATTTTTGAGCCGTTCTTGTGTTGATTTAATTTTAATTTCAGTCAAGCTATCCAGTTTTCAGAAAGTGGTATGGGGATGCGTACCAAATATCTTAAATGCCCAAAAAGCCGTCAGATTGCGTCTGCAGTATGTCGAGCTACCTTTTTTGCAGCATAGACCACCCTCTTCTGTCATGTCCAGTCAGATCGCGACAAACGATTTTCCTTTCGATCCGTTATTTTCACGGAATTTAAGATTGAGACGTTTTTTTTCTGGCGATCCTGTTCACTGTGCTGTTATCCATCTGAACGAAAATGGACACATCAAAAGTGCATTTATACCGGTTTTAGGTAATAGCACGGCATATAGACTCATGGCATGCCGAAGGTAGACTCATAAACATTCGAAACATATGTCCTCCATGGACTAGTCCATCCATATTTTTTCAACACAGATGGAGTTATTCACATTTAAGTACTATTAGGTAAATACAAACTTGTCGATTTCTAGTCCATACCTTAATCTATTTCTATTGTCCTGTCTATTTCTATTGTCCTGTCAATTTCTATTGTCCTGTCGCGAATTTAATTACATTTTAGCAATTAGACTGGCACCCGAGAAAGGAATTGAACATTTTCTTTATGCGAAAGAAATTTCACCAGTCAGGGTAAAAGTTGTAAATGTGTCCCCTTTCTACACAAAGGTATGCTTCTTCTTGATGTTATCAATGTTATTTTCCAGCCAACATTATTTGCCCTCTTTTCCAAATTTGGTCCCATACACCACTTCAGATACAATAAGGTACGTTCAGCCACCTGTTAAACTGTAGGAAAACATCATTTTTTTCTGTAATTCTATTCGCGTACTGTATCCTCTTTGTTTTTAGTCGTGCACAGCTGTTACCGTGGGCTACAAAACCAAATCCTCCGTGGAGGCATTACTGCAGACACCTATGAATTCTGCCTACGCCCTTCCCATCCCAAAGGCCTCATTTTCTCGTTAGTAATTTCTCTGTACTGCTAAATGCATAATGTCAAATGTACTGCTATCTAGAGTTAAGGGCGTGACATGCCAGAATTATGAAGGCGGGTAATTTCAAGCCAATTTTGGTTATTGACGATGCCACACTATTAGTCACTACACCCTCTCAACTATTTTTGGAATTCTAAACGTAGAACCACTCGCTTCTATCCGCTCACTTACGCCGTTGCGTGCTGGGTGACAACCTTTACCTCGACATGCAATGAGGAATTTCGCATGATTTGGGTTCCGACCCCTGAGATTCGAACCCGGGACCTTTGGCCATTGGGTTA